TTAAAATTTTATTAAAAAATTTTAAAATTTAAAAAAGTTTGCAAGCAAATTTGGCTGCAAAACAATTTAAGAGATATATAGTATTATAGTAGTTATATAGTTTACAATGATCATTTGGACCACATTTTTTAAAAAACTTTTTACTAGGAAAAAAAACAGTATACTAGAGTAAAGTCAATGACTTACATATAAGACGTGAAAAAGAAACATCTAAGTTAGTAGCTGTTATTTAAAGATAGTTCTTATATACTATTTGCTAATAGCCTTAGAGTTTATTACTCACTAACTAGAAGCACAACACTTGTTATTTAGAAGTAGTTCTTATATGCTATTTGCTGACAAGTTTAGAGTTTATTACTCATAAATAAGACTTAGTACTGTGCAGGCTTGAATATATAGTTGATTTTAGTAAAGGAAACTTATATTCTTTTAGTGTATTCAAGTGTTTTTTTTTTTTCATATTTGGCCGACCTCACCAAAATTTTTAACAAAAAGTAGACATTTTAGCTTACTCTCTTCAAAAGATTAGCATTGTTTATACTTTTCATTTTTGGACAAACAAAGTAGAACATAAACTCAGGATTGTTTTGGCAATAATGGCCCTACATTATGTAACAAACTAATCAGCGCTTTGGTTAACAAACCAACTCAGATCAGATATGATAGTCAGAAGAAAATTCTAATAATAAAGTATAGCTTTATAACAAAGATATACAAGATTTTTAATAGATGATTCACTAGTCATTTGGACAAAAAATTTTTTTTTTATATATAAATTTTACTATAAGTGTGAATGCATAGCATCTCTATCTAAAACTTTTTTTTTTGGCTTCTAACAAAAGTTGTAGAACTTATTAAAATGTATTTAATACTAAAAGAATATTAAATACATTTTGATAAGCTCTACAACTTTTGTTAAAAGCTGAAAAGTGATTTACTTAATATAAAAAAAAGTTTTAAATAGAAACACTGTGCATTCACACTTATAGTAAAATTTATATATAAAAAAAAAATTTTTGTCCAGGTAACTGGTGAATTGCCTATTAAATTTAAAAATTAGATTTGTTTAAATTTAATTAGGTATAATTTTTACAACTGCGTCTAGCACAGGTTATAACAATGCTTTCATAGATTTATTTTTTTTCCACCTTTTTTTTCTTTTTTTATTTGTTTTTTTATTTGTTTTCTTGTTGCTTAGATATTTTTTTCTTTCCTCTTTTTGTTTTATTCCCTTTATCTTTTTTTGTTAGTATTAGTTTTTTTTTCATAAGTTGGTTAAAAGCTATGAATCCTTCTACTCAAAAAGCTAAAAGAAGAAGGTTAAAAAAGATGATGATTTTAATAGGCCATAAATACTATTCAGTGATGTATTGAAGAATTTATTTGCAAGGTTTTTTAATATGGAAATAAACTTTACTATAGCAGATCAAACATGAGTAATTTGGGCACTTCAGTGTCACAAAGAGCCAAGTTAGTCAATATTTGTAATTTAGGTGAACTTTAGATAACTTTAGTCAAATTTGCATTTTTACCTGAGAGTTCAAATAATTATATCTAATAAAATATTAGCAAGATTGCTAAATTGACAAAAAAAAGTAGTTATATAGTTTAAAATTAATAAATAAAATAAAAAAATAAATTTAAAAACAAAGTGAAAATCAAAAAACAAATTTTAACACTCTTCTTAACGATCATTTTTTTTCCACAAAAATCCAAAATTCTTAAAAAATACAAGCGTCTATAAAGGTAGAAACAGTCTGGAAAATAGTCCTTAAGTTCTGTAACTCAGCAATTGTTATTTAGAGGTAGTTTTTATATGCTACTTGCTAATTTCCTTAGAGTTTATCACTCACCACAGGGGCCAGACACTTGTCGATTAGAAATAATTTTTATATGCTATTTGCCAACAAGCCCAGAGTTTATCACTTACCTGAAAAAATAAGGAGAGTACTAGCGCCTTTCTATGGATTCAGTGTGTTAAGTAAAAAAAATATATACTCTTTTATTAAACAAAACAAAGTGGTTTCGTCTCTTTTCTCTGCCTCCTCATCGCTTTTTCAAAATTTCCCACAAAAGTGAGCAAAATAGCTAACTCTTTCCAAAAGATCAGCATTGTTTACACCTCCCAAATCTAGACAGCTCCGGCAGACTGCAATCATGTGTCTGGTTTGTTTTGTTTATAGACCATGCTGCTTCACATAATACTGAGGTTGGGCCGTTTATATTGTTTAGAAGTCCAGATAATTTAGTCAGAAAATTTATTTAATAAGGCAAAGCCTTACACTAGAAATATACAAATATCATATTTGTTATATAATTTTTTTCAGCTTAGCACAGGTAATAGTAGTGCTAAAAAGACAGAATTTTCTGCTATCCTTTTTGCTTTTTTTTCTTTGTAATTTTTTTTTTTATATTCTCTTTCGTATTTGTTTTCTTTTTATATATTCTTCTTTGTTTTTTTTTTTTCCCTTTTGTTTTTGTTGTTTTCACTTTATTTGTATTTTTTGGTTTATTATCCTTATTTGTTACATACCCCTTTGAAGAAGAAAAAATGTTAAGAAAAGGCAATCTTGACAAAGCTAGCAATAAGCTTTCAGTGATTTTTTGGGAAATTATCTAGTAAGTTAAATACTGGAGAGGAATGAATTATTGCTGTGGCAGATCGCACTTGGGCACTACTACGAGCAGCTGAGTGAGTCTTTATTGAAGAGTAGAAGGGTGAAAGACATTGAGTTTATTGCAGGCTTGTTGTTCGAAAACCATGTATTTAGATTACGCACTCCTAATACAATAAAGGCAGGTTGCCAAATTTAAAAAAAAAAAAAACAAAGTGAAAATAAAAAAGCTTAACGATTAACTATTATACTTTAGAAATTTCCAGAATCAATCGATTGACAATCTATTTCCATAAAAGGTGCAATTGGCACTATGCATTAATGGTATATCCCGGGTACTCTTATGTCAAGCAAATTCTGGGCTGAAGATCACTTCCGATCATAAATTTCGTAGATCGGATCCAATAAAATTACAGGATCTTGTGTAACAAAACAAACACAAAAACATAAGAAAATGCAAGAAATTGTAAATAACGCGAAATTTTACTATGCCAACTAACTTCCGACCTTTAAATATACTAAATATATGGAAAATTTTGAAGTGATCTTTAGCTCGAAATTTGCTTGACATAAGGATACCCGTATATCCCCGGACTGAATTATCTCAAAATAAGATATATTCGAGTTTCCGCCAGTATTTATTTTTCACAGTGTGCGCATGTGCGCGCACTGTGCGGGTCCAATCAAATTTTGAAATAAAGCAATTTGATTGGATTCGCACAGTGCGCGCACATGCGCACACTGAAAAATAAACACTGGTTTCCGCCCTTACACTCCATATATCTACCTGGCAATAGTACATAGTGTATATGAGTGTCGCCAAAAGAAAACCCGACAATTTAAATATAGTCTATATTTGAATTGTCGGGTTTTCTTTTGAATACTTATGACAGTAAATCACCGCCTAACTTTAAAATTGGTAGAGGGTAATGCCATCCCACGCCCAATTTTACGGTAAATACCTCTTTCGATACAAAAAGATATGTCAAAAAGATATACGATGAAATACATGCAAGTATATTAATAATAAAGAAGAAACATACCACTCCTTCATGATTATGCTGATTAGAACTAAGCCTTATGAAACTTTAAAGAAGTCAGAGTAGAATTTTTTATTAAGTACGAAAAAATATTGAAGAGAAAAAAAAAAATCAAAAGCTAAGTAATCTATTTTTTAGACATTATAAATACAGTATATAGTTGTAAATACAGAAATATCAGCCCGGAGTAAAAAATATTAAATAAACATCGATCCATTAAAGAAAAAAATAAAATAAAATAAACATTAAAAATAAGAGTATAGATTAAATTTTTCATATACAATCTGAGATTCTAAATATTCAATCCTTTCGATCAGAGATTTCTCTAGGGGATATTTGAGCCTTTCGGTTAAAGACCTTCCAGAAGGACCACCAAAAATCGCGAATCTTTTAAAGAGACCGTAGGGTTCCTTGCTTAATTCCCTTTCTAAAATAAATAAATAAATAAATAAATAAAAATGTTAATTAAATAATAAAATAAAATAAAATAATCAGACTTGTAAAAAAACTATTTACGAAATAAAAAAACGTAAAGACTCAGCATCAAACTGTAAAGAGCAGTGATAGTTCCTAGAATATCTAGGATCTATTTAACTGATTATTAGTATCATTTAAAAAATAATAATAGATTTCAAATAATATTTACAAAAATATTTACAGTACGGCTTCTAAAAAAAATCAATAAAAAATGAATGAATAAAGAAATAAATAAAACAATTAATAAACTTTATAAAAATGAATGAATAAAGAAATAAATAAAACAATTAATAAACTTTATAAAAACTTACTTTTGCTCTATTTCTACTTGTAAAAGAGTCGTTTTTGGTTTAAACTTCATTATAGTATAAGTATTATTAGGAGTAGCTTGAAAAAAACCTATAAATAAATTTATTAGTTTTTTCATCACATTAAATTGTGATAAATCGGTTTACTTACTTTGATATGTAACATCAATATAATGATAAGATTTGTAATTTGGCGAGAACCCAACTTGTGTTAACAACGTCGAATCCATTAGTTGTCTTTTATATCTACTAAAGTAACTCATTGTAGCCTGACATTTTAACAATAAAAATATTATTAAATGGTTTTCAATAATAATAAGAATAATAATATACTAAAAATTTATACATACATTAGAGAAATGGCTCATGAAATATGAATTTTCAAGATTGAGTGAATCAATATATGGAGGTTGATCGGTATATTTTAAGTATTCAGAATCAAATGGTACTAAAATGTTAAGCTTTGTGGAATCAAGACTAAAGTTAAGATAAATCATATCTCTCTCTCTGAGGGATATGCTTCCATTATGTATCAGTCCAGTACATTGATTTAGATCAACTGGAGTAATTTGTTCAACACGTTCAAAAACATTTTGGCTAACTAATAACTCGGGGTCATAATATTTCATGCAGTTTTCAACACCAGCTGCACCATTATAATTATAATTATAAATTATTTCGCAGTCGTTAATTTTACCTAGGTAAATAAAATCTAATATTTATTGGTTTGAGAAATATATATAAATTTTAATGGGTAAGAAAAATCTAATATTTATTGTTCGAGAAATATATACAAATTTTAATGAAAAAATTAATCATACTTGGTGCTGGGATTGACTCATTTTTTTCATAAGTTACTTTAATGGTAGGTACTTCATCAACCAACTTTGTAATTAATATCATAAAAAAGGTACATAATGCACATAAAAAAATAGTTATTGTTAAAGCTCGACACCATCTTAACGATAGTGGCGATTCTTTCTTTAAAATATCGAGGAAAAACATTTTGAGAACTCATGATCTGTTTTACATATATCTCTTTAAATATTAAAATTAACAATCTTTTCAAAAACAATCTTAAAAAATACTGAAACACGGGATACGTATACGAATGTATGTACTTTTTTGGGTTTCCTTTTTAAGGAATGTTTCAGGCACATTTTATGAATATACTGTATACGTACTACTAAAATATAAAATATCTTGTGACAGTGACAGTATCGAGAATAATAATAGCAATATGAAAATTTTAACCTTTGGTTGCAACAAGAAACATTATTGAAGAATAAAGAAAATATAGAGAATTGATAACAAATGGCTATAGCATCAAACAAAGGGCTGTATACACAAGTTGATTATTTTAAAAATAGTAGTTAAAACCGGATGCGATCACATTTTGTGTTAATTTATCAGAAAAAAGTTGGCATTGGACTTTTTAGGAAGTATTAGTTGAGATTTATAGGTTTCCTGATTTGGTTATTGATTACCAGATTTAATCATCTATTAATTAGTGTCACTGTTACCTGTAGTCTGAGTGGTGATCTGATGAGTTAATGTTGGGAGGACAGTGTCAAGATCACTAGAACATACGATGTCTCTCCAATGATACCTGCGCATGTATAGAAGTGCTAGTCCAGATAACAAAGTAGAAGTTTGTCCCTCCTAATAAATTGTCTGTCTGAATGCTCGTTTGTAATTAATACACATGTATCGAAAGAATCTTGAGTTTAATTCCGATTCCAAGTATGCCTTAAGAGTGTAACTGATGCCAAGTCCTCATCACGAAGTTGTTTTTATGTAGAATTATGTAGAATTTTTATGTAGAATATGTAAACTTTTTACGTAGCTTTATAAAAACTTTATAAACACAATGTAGATTTTAATATAAATCTATATATTGTATATTAAAGCAAGAATTATATATATATAGATTTTTATATTATATAAATAGTAAATAAAATTATATATAAAAATTACGTAAAAAATTCTTATTATATAAGTCTACATTGGGTTTGTAGGCTATATAAAAATTTTATATAATATTTATAGAACTACATAAATTTTATAAAAAAAAACAATTTGCTGATTTTAACTGAATTGGCCAAAAAATAATTCGGAAATGTTTTTATCAAGTGTTTCAGGAATTATGAAAGCAGCTGCAACATCCGTTATTCTTTTTATATCCGGTTTATATCAAAATCTTGCAAACATTAATTGGTTTTGCAAATTTTATTCAGAAATATTTTTATTTAAATTTCACGAAAAATTATAGCAAAATTTATCTTATACGTATAGAGTTTTATTTAATACTATATACATAGTTTGAATTTTCATGGTATATCGTGGGTTTCCCCGCTAGTTTCTATTGGACACATAGAAATTCTGCTTTTGACCGGGAGAAACATATTTCATCGTATTTTAAAACGATCAATTAATGGCACGCATGTTCAAGTAATAACATGTCATTAAAATAGTATAAAGGTTTAACGGGACATATACCGTGTTACCGCGAAATAACGCGCAGGGGTGAAATTATAAAATTCGGCCTAAATTAAGCTTAATTCGGGCCGAACCTTGAAATAACGCCCATGGTCGTTATTTCGCGGTAATACGGTATTTTCAAGAAACTTTTTCTATAGGCACAAAGGCAAAATTATCTTTGTAAAATTTATGTTACATATGATCGTGTGATTTGTTTCGTAGCGTAATCTGCTTTGTTCAATCAGAGACAGCATTTACACACAACCAAGGGAGAAAATTGGAGTACCGAGAATAAGAATAGCGTAAATTAAAATTTGACTCTGAGATGCATCATACTGAAATACGCCATGATAATATTAACAGTTAATAAAATAATAAATTAATAAAAATTGGTTCGCTTAAAATTTCTTAACATATCACTCATGTATTTTATATCGAACTAAATACTATAGAGCATTCATTTATTACACGCAAAACTTTCGGTAGCTATTTTAGTAACTTCATTATACAGTATTATAATTTATCGTTATGTAAAATATATTTATATACTTCACAACCATTGCAAAGTTTAACGAACAAAAAATAGCAGGACATACAAAGAATTCCTCTACGAAATTGGAGAGCACGTACAGTACGTAAAAACTCTTATTCAAAAATCGATCTCAAAATCAAATTTCGGTCTGACGCATTTCAAAATCAAATTTGTAACTCAATTTCAAATTCACGCACAACAAATACACTCAAAGCACATTAATAAGAAAAACGCGCGAAAAGCGAAAAAACCGCAAATAAATTAAAAGATACACATTTAAGAAAAAAAGTACTAAAGGAAGGAACAAAGCAAAAAAAAAAAAAAAAAGAATAAGAAAATTGATGAATTACATTAAAAGAGGAGAAAAAAAATCAAAAGTATAAAACTATATACAGTCAACTCTCTTTAAACCGAACAGCAGGTTCTTATATGTAAAAATATTTAAAAGTTCAGTTTACAAAGAGTTATTATGTTGCTAACTCGAACTTAATAATAAATTTTTACAAATGTTCTGAAGCTTTATGTTCAGTTTTCACAGAGTTTATTAAGTGTTCAGTTTATCCAGGTTCGGTTTAAAGAGAATTGACTGTATACAGTATATTAAAAGATAATAAAAGTATAGGCCCGCTAAAATACATATATATACATTTATTTTTAAAAATAAAAGCTCTTTAAGTTTAATACCCCTAATTTTAATATCCTTAATCTGAGATTCTAGACATTCAATCCTTTCGATCAGGGATTTCTCTATAGGATCTTTGAACTAGACCATAGGATCCATTGTTTAATTTCTTTTCTAAAATAACAAAAAATTTTTAATCATATAATAAAATCGCATAATAAAATAATTGTAAAAACTATTTACGAAATAAAAAAAGGCAGAAACTCAGCATCAAACCATAAAGACCGGTGATGATTCCTAGAATATCTAAGATCTAATTAAATATACAGTATAAAATTTATACATTAGAGTAGTGGCTCATGAGATATGAATTTTAAGTATTCGGAATCAAATGGTATTAAAATGTTAAACATCGTGGGATCAAGACTAAGGTTAAGTTAAATCATATCTCTCTCTCTGAAATCGAGATAGTTAACTTCTACATCATATATAAATACAGTATAGTATTTTGTTATTAAACATCTTTTGGATATTTTTATTATAATATGAGGGATATGCTTCCATTATGTATCAGTCCCAGTACATTCATTTATATCAACTGGAGTAATTTGTTCAGCATGTTCAAGAAAATTTTGGCTAATTAATAATTCGGGGTTATAATATTTCATACAATTTTCAGTAATAACTCGGGGTTATAATATTTCATACAATTTTCAGTACTAACTTGACTACTATAATTATATTCATAAAGTATTTCGCAGTCTTTAATTTCACCTAGGTAAATAAAATCTAATATTTATTGGTTTGAGAAATATATATAAATTTTAATGGGTAAGAGAAATATATACAAATTTTAATGAAAAAATTAATCATACTGGGATTGGTTCATTGTTTTCATAAGTTACTTTAATAGTAGGTACTTCATCAACCAATTTTGTAATTAATATCATAAAAAAGGTACATAATGCACATAAAAAAATAATTATTGTTAAAGCTCGACACCATCTTAACGATAGTGGCGATTCTTTCTTTAAGATATCAAGGAAAAACATTTTGTTAAGTCATGATCTGTTTATTTTCTTTAAATACTAACACTAACAATCTTTTCAAAAAAAAACAATTTTTAAAAACTGAAACACAGACGAATACAATTTTTATCGTTTTCTGTATTTGAAACACCAAAGATAGAAATCAAGGCTCCTTACAAGTGCGAAATAATACCCAGGGTGTTATTATTATATACTAATATATAGCCTGAATTAAGCTTAATTACAATGAAAATCGAATGTTCACGCAGATCTGCAAGGTAACGTATCACATTCGTGATTAAATTAGATAATGCTATGATAAACCATTGTTTTTCAAATTTAGAAGCTACATACCCGATGCGTACGTATGTATGTATATCCGTTCTGCACGAGTCTAGTAATGGTGAAGTTATCCATTATTTTGCTGATAGTTTACTTTCATTTAACCTATTAACTCCGTTTTACTATTGTACGTATGTACGTTCGTACGTTCCTTTGCGAACCAAAAAAAAACAAAAAAGGAAATTAAACAAAAACATAATACGTGAAGTTAGACATTGTTAGTAATATTTATAAGTTCAATGAATTAGTTACTAGATTTAGTCATTTATTGTCACGACTGAAGTTGGAAATTTTAATTATTTTAATACAGTCGTACGTACTCCTCTATAATCACAGTTTGTTTTATGCAAAAAACGTGATTATTAAAATTTTATTATAATGTATATACTTATATATATAGAAGTCAGGGCATGCTTGAAGCTTGGACATGTTACACAAAATAAAATATACTCATAATTTTACTGACAATCTAATTTAATTTTTTGAAAAAAATATTTAGCACCTAATTTTATATAGTTTAAGATTTTTACTAAAACGCACCTATGGTGTTTTACATCTATGTATATATTATCTCAAACTAGCTAATTAATCAATGCAAAATATTCTAAGTAAACATACTCTACATCTCTAAACCCTTCCCAAACCCTAACCCTAAATACAAACACTTGAAAATTTTGTGTTGAAAATTTTTATATGGTGCATGTAGTCTAGAACCAACATCACGTGACCAAGAGCAGCCAAAATTTTAAAACTTTTTATTATAAAATTTTTGTACTACATATAAAATTAGCCAATTAAATTTTAGCATAATAAAAATTTTTAAAAAATTTTATATTAATAGCCAAAATTTTAAAATATATAGAATAGTTTGGCTAATATCTTAAGTTCTAATAAATTAAGAAAAAAATTTTTTCTGTAAAAATATAATATAAAGCATAAATAATCAATTTACAGAAAAGGTTTTTCTATTATAATATTGATATGATTAGTTATAGTCATTTTTATTTTACATAGTTATAAAGGTCACGTGATGTTGGTTCTAGACTACATGCACTATATTAAAAACTTAAAAAAAAAAATCTAAAAACATAATAAAACATGATAGATGCAAAACCACCATAGGTGCATTTATAATAAATGTAAAAATATTTTATATACCGATCATGTCGAAATTACCAACTTGGATCAGCCAAAAAATCATTCGGAAAATTTTATCGGGTGTTTCAGGAATTATTAAAACAGCTGTAACATACTGTTATCCTATTTATATCCGGGTATATCAAGATTTTGCAAACATTAATTGGTTTTGCAAAATTTTATCCTGAAATATTTTTATTTAAATTTCACGAAAAATTATAGCAAAATTTATCCTATATAATAGAGTTTTATGTAACACTACATAGTTTTGATTTACATAGTTATTGGATAGAAATTCTGCTTTTGATCGGGCGAAACATATTTCGAATCGATCAACGTAATAAAACATGTCTTTAGAATAGTAATTTTGTAGGTAAAATTTTAAGACACTGCAATTTTTGTAAACTTCGTTCTTTGTTTTGCAAATTTATGATACACATAATCATGTGATTTTATTCATAGACAAAAAGTGGCGTAGCCTTTTTTGTTCAATTAGAGACAGCGTTTACACACAATCAACCAGGAGAAATTAGGAATCCCGCGGGTACTGCGATCTGCGCTGCATGATAATAAATACACTCAAAGCACATTAATAAGAAAACCATGTGAAAAGCAAAAAAGCCACACATTAAGGGCAGGGTCACGTAACGATTTAAAGCAAAATTTTGATAAATTTCGAAGTCAACGTAAAAAATTTTTTTTAAACATTGGTTTCGTCCAATAATATTATTATCATGTGATTTTTGAAAATTTTGATTAAATTTGGATTTCTTTCAAAAAATTTCCTTCAAAAAATTCACGTGTCCCAAATTAATGAAAAAAGTACTAAAAAGAAAGAACAAAGCAAAAAAAAATAAAATAAAATAAAAAAGAATAGAAGAATAAAAGAAAATTGAAGAAAAAGAAATTGAAGAATGAAGAATTACATTAAAGAGGAGGATAAATCAAAAGTATAAAGCTACTATATATATTAAAAGACAATAAAGTAAAATAAATGGCGGCCACTAATATATATATATATTTAAAAATAATAATATGGTTTCAACTCTTTAAGTTTAATATCTTTAATTTTAATATCCATAATCTGAGATTCTAGATATTCCATCCTTTCGATCAGAGATTTCTCTAGAGGATATTTGAGCCTTTCGGTTAAAGACTTTTCAGGAGAACCACCAAAAATTGCAAATCTTTTAATAAGACCGTATGGTTCATTACTTCTTAATTCCTTTTCTAAAACAAATGATAATAAATAAATAAAAATGTTAATTAAATAATAAAATCAAAAATAAAATAATCAAACTTGTAAAAAAACTATTTACGAAATAAAAAAACGTAAAGACTCAGCATCAAACCGTAAAGAGCAGTGATAGTTCCTAGAATATCTAGGATCTATTTAACTGATTATTAATATCATTTAAAAAATAATAATAGATTTCAAGTAATGTTTACAAAAATATTTACAGTACGACTTCTAAAAAATTAATAAAAAACGAATGAATAAAAGGAATAAAAAATAAAATGAATAAACTTAATAAAATCTTACTTTTGCTCCGTTTCTACTTGTAAAATCGTCATTTTTGGAGTAATAGACAGTAAAGTAAAAGTAGTCAGAAAAGTGCTTTCAAAAGATCCTATAAATAAATAAATAAATAAATATCTTATTATTATTATTGCTTCATAACATTTGTGATTAATCATTTTTCTTTACTTAGACCCGTATTAATATAGTAATATGTTTTGTAATTTGGCGAGAATCCAATTTGTGTTAACAATGTCGTATCCATTAGTTGTCTTTTTACTCTATTAAAGTAATATATACTGTTCTAACATTTTACGTAAAAAGAAAATTATTATTTTTTCAATAATAATAATAATCATCATAATAATACGTATATAAAAAAAAATAGTACATTAGAGCTATGAGTCATGTAATATACATTATCAAGATTGAGTGAATCAATATATGGAGATTGACCATCATATGTTGAATATTCAGAATCAACTAGTACTAAGCTACGAGACGTGTTCTTGTCATTACTAATAGAAAGATTAAGACGAATATAATCGTCTACTTTGAGGGTTATTCTTCCATTATGTATCAATTCAGATACATTCTTGTTATCTGGCATGATGTGACAGATACATGGGTATTCGGCAGGATGATAGCAAAAGGTCACATCATGCCAGATAACTAGTTTATCCGTAAGGTATGACGTATACACTGATGGAACCATATTATTGCCCAAATAAACTTTTTTTAAT